AAATAAACCTTGACTAGACTAAGACTAGAACAGACTCAATCAAATATATATATGAACAGGTGTGTGAATGCATCCTTAAGATTACTTTTCTCGACACTCAAAGTTGCTTCTGAAAGCCATGGGGCAGATTTACATGAGCCATTCTGCACAGCCTTTCATCATAATAACATATTCACAAAGGCAAATCAATCATTAAAAACCAATTAAATTAGTAAGAGAAATGACAAATGACAATGCAGCAAATGTATTTTGAATATAGATAAAAACAGTTGTTTACATGAGTTCATAATTCAAAGTAGATGAAAGTATGTATGAAAAGTAAGTTGTGTGTCAGTGTTAGTCTCTTGGTCAGAGGGGCATATGGCACAAATTGGCAGCCTTGATTCCAAGAGTCTACACCAGGGCATCTGTGGCTACAACAGTAGTTTATCACTACCAAGTGTGGAATGAATGAATAATGCACCGTAAAGAGCTTTGGGTGTCTTGAAAAGCACTAACTGGAAGTTTATTAGCTAAACAACATTATTACAACTAATTCAACATGAAGTGTATTAATCAATTAGTGTGTCCTGATGGGAATGATATTTGTCAAGTCTGACCACAAACATTAAGCAACAAATCTGATCCTTAAAATAATAATCCTAAAATCATCTTGTAGATCGATGACTTGGGTGTCAGGCCATCCTGCACCAGAACACAAACCTGGGTTTGCTGGCAGCATAGCAGCCCTGGGGCTATGGGGACATTAGCTACATGCTTATCTCCAGCCCAGTGCTAGCTACCCTCCACTCTCTTTCTCCCCTCTGTATCTTCTCTTGCTCTCCAGCTGATGCTGAGATATGATTTGGTGAGGGGAGCAGCAAGGATTCAAGCGTATTGATCCAGACTCTACAGCTATCTCTGCACTCCTCATGCATTTTGGGTGTATGTAGCTATCACCCAATTGTCCACTTTATCTTTCTGTGCAACCTTCACCTGCCTCTCCAGAGTACAATCATAATAGTGCCTCTCCTAGGTGCCCACGCAATAATCCTGGGTCTTCCTTCTTTCTTCCGGCAAACACCTCCCCCAGTGAAGACAAAACCAATAAAGAGTGGGCTTAATTACAGCAGCAGAGTGCCGCTAACAGCAGGTATTGCACCCTGGGGCAGAGGGCGCTGAGCCGGAGCAGCCAGGCTGGGTTCAATGCAGATTCTTAAACCAACAATTAAATTGGGAAATTATGACATTTTATAGTGTATCTGAATGGGTTATGGGTTATGAGCATTCCTGACACAGTCACTTTATATTGCCAATAGGGGATCAAACTACTAACAATGTTGGTGGGTGAATGTTTATACCATCTTTGGTTCTAACACTAGTAATATTTTTGAGACAATCAAATGGCCAAATCAAAGTAAATAATCTGATGTATGATTGAACTGTATTGACTTTGCAGTTTAATAATGCCCGCAAAAATGTATGCATGTAAGCCAAACTACTGACAATAACACAACAGTAAGTTATATATCCACCCATAAGTGTGTATGGTCTCAGAATTTAGCCTACATAGCACTTTCAATACATAGTATAAAACACAGAATTTGCCCATGCTGCTGAAAACTGATGACGGTGACATATTTCAGAGATGTAGCTCAAGGGTCTGTGCTGAGGTGGAGTGATGTGGGTGATAAAAGGGGGCAGTGTGGCTGCTGTTAAAATGTAGTGACCACTCAATTCAAAACCATTCAGTCCTTCTAAGAACAGACCCAAAGCCCCATTAGGACCTCTGCTGACGCACACATGCATAATACATGTCAGCTGGATCTAAAAGCATACAGCCCATTAGCAAGCTATAGGTCTGAGCAGAAAAAGAACAGTGAGAAATAGGATACACACAAACAACTCTACAAATGAACGAGAATAGCTTGCTACGATGCATAACCTATTTCTTCAAAGCTGAAACTTGCTAAAATACTTTGAGAAAAGGGGGATGGAAAATGAGAGTCAAATGTAATTGGTGGATTACAAAGCCTGTCCAGCTTTTCCAGTGGCTGAGTGTTCTGGCCATGTAATGTGAGGTGGCAGAGAGCCCAGCACTGCTGTAAATTATTTCTGATGATCGGGTGGGGGACAAGAGGGAATGGCTCTCTCCCTGGAGACAGACAGAGCATGGACAGAGACACAGGTCTGAGTCTGCTGTGGAAACTGCCTGCAGGACATAGAGCTAAGCTCTGCTACATGACCTGTGGCCCAGAGAGGAGAGGTCTGTCAAAGACCAATCATGTACTCCAACACTGAGAGTCACCTCTGCCTTAACTCTCACCTGCTTTACAGCTAGCTTTCTCAGAGGAGCTGGGAGATGCTGTTCCACTAAACAGTCCTGTATGAACTCATATTTGGGATATTAACAGCAGCCTAAACTCTGTGTGTGTGTAAACTTGCCTGCTCTGGTGATGCTCATAGCTCACTTTTGTTCCTTCTCTCTGAGACAGACAGCAGCAGCGGCAGAGGCAACATAGCACAAGCTGCAGCAGTGCACAGAGGGCTATGCGCACGCGCGCTCTTACGGACAGGTCTACGCACATAGCCCAATCCCACCTCTCACAGTGTACCAAAGTGTTCAGTTTAACAGCCCCCATCCTCCTCATCCTCACATGTGTGCAAACGTGCACGCGCACAGACCCAACGCAGCAGCGGCTGATCGCCACATCCGCCGACTAGGAAATACAGTATCTGCAGCAGAAACACTACTACAGTGTAGGCTATTATTACGCAGGCAAGCTACCGATCGATAAACGCAACAACCCCCACCCCCGGCACTCGCCTGACATACCAACGGGGAAGCCCTTCCTCATAAATCAGGGCATTTCTTTACAAAGGAACCACTCACCCAATGTTACTCAACGCCTGCTCGAACAGCTCCGTCTGTAAGATGTTCTGAGGTGTCGTGAAAGCCCCGTTGAAATGTGATAAAACCGAGCTACAGAACTGACGCAATGTCTCAAACTGCATTTTCCTCCTCCGTTTTCTTTTATCCTCAGTAAATGATCACTCCTTTCCCATTCACGACAAATACATCCCAAAACACGAGCTCTCCCCGGTTGCCCCGCTCCACACATATATTTCCACAGTATCGTTATTATCTCCAAGGAGCATTAAAATCGAAAAGGACACCAATCAAGTTCCATATTTCTCCCGCTGGTCTTGGTAAAAAAGTGTCTTTATACGAGTCGCATTTCGGGCGGGATCCTTCGGTCATAATGCTCCCGACCTGAACCAAGATACACCAGGCATCACCGGTAACGAGTCTTCTCTTCTTGTTACCGCAGATCTCTCTTTTAGCTTTGGGGGTAAAGGCGAAGAAACGCCCGGAGGAGCCAAAACGTGGAGCAACATCCTACCGTACGGCAGCAGGCAGCGGCAGCATCACTTACCGGCGTTTCAGCTGCTGCCTCACATTCAACTCATATTTCCCTTCGCCTATGAAGAGCGCTAACACAGGCATAAACACAAGCGTGCGCGTGCACACACGCACAACACAATACGCGACTGATATGCATTTGTGCACTCTTTGCCATATCTCTCCATCCTCTCATACACTCCTCGGGACGCGCACCGCAGCAGATACAATTCAATACACGAAGACACTGCTGGGAGGCGATTTTTCTTCTCCTTTTCCAAACCTGACCTCAGAATTCAGACAGTTGTTTTGTGTGTTGCAAGAACTAAATTAAATTGATTAAACAAAGATACTTGAATAGTGAAGCTAAACAGTGGAATATGAAGAATCAGACATAAAATGAACCTGTGAGTATTTTCCCACCTCTGTTTAATCATTGTTGTTTTATCAGTTAGAGCGGACGCTGCAGCTGTCTTTGCATCTCCCTTCAAATGACATCTTAAAGGCCAAGATAAATTAGGATCCTTTCCCAAATTATTCTCTTATTTTTGCTTCCCTCTCCTTTCTCCTCCAGAAACAAATTCCAAATTTAATTTGCACAATGTATGAACTTCAAATACAGCATCCACATTTCCACATGTAATCCTGTTATGCCACTGTAAACACCATGTAATGTAAAGTGAGGACCCTGAGGTGACAGCTCAAAACACAGAGTTGGTGTGAGGCAATGATCTGAATATTCTTACATGTAACATAATTTACTGTTAAGTTGATAAGCATCAACCAACCTCAACTCCAGGAAGAAGAAAAAAATAAAAAACATCACAACCATAAATTTGTTGCAACTAAGTGTCAAACATGCTTTTTAATTGTATCTATTGTTAATATCTAAACCATGGTAGTCACAGTATATGAAAGCATAATCCAAAATTTCCAGTCCACAAATTAACATAGCAACCTGATAGGCCTCGACCCACCCAAATCAACACAATCATCATCATCACAGTCTTCACGTGTGCTACCACAATGCATATTAAAGGTCCTGTATTACACAAAACAGACTCCTGTGAGACATGTCATAATGTTATTACCTCATCGAAACATACCCGGAGTTGTGTTTGTTCATTCATAAATGTTTGAGTAACTCTTATTTATTAGTCTGTCTACATCTCCAAAGCTCAAAATGCTCTGTTCCACCTTGTGATGTCATGTAGTGGTAGTTTTCAAATGAACAGCTACCTTTTACCTTTAGTTCAGTAAGATTGGCAATTCCAGGGATTATAGTGAAAGAGGAGTTAAAAACACAGTAGAGCACTTCCTGTTTTACCACATGACATCACAAGGTTTTCTATTTGAGAGAAGAACACAACCTAAATATGTGAGGCTTGTATGTTAAACATGTGTGAATGAAACAAAACACAACTCTAGGTATATTTTTGATGAGGAAAAAACATTATACATAACATAGATCAGAAAACAGTGTAATATGGGCACATTAATGGAAGATATATTTGTTACACAGGGAAGTAAATTTATGACTGCATATTTAAAATAAACATGTGATAAAAAGCCATTCACAGTGCAGCATTGTTGACACCATAGCCAGCATTAGACATACCTGTCGAGGGGTGAGTCTCCAGGTCCTGGGTACCTCAATCCAGTCCCGTTGTCCAGAGAGGCCTGTCTGTAAGGTCTGCCTCTGTCTGGTCCTCCGGGCTCCTGTAGCTTTGCCTTCTTCCCCTGTGGTCCACCCTCGTATACTGGGCCCGAGCCGTAGAACCACGCCCCTGATTTAGTGAGGATTTCTTGTTGTTTTCGGCACAAGTTGCATACCCACATAACCTGGAAGAAGAAGATGGTTTCAGTAAATTTACAGATAGACATCTGAAATCTTAAGAATCCTAAAATGAGCAGAGATGGTGCTGTCGGAAATTGTTGCTGACTTTTGAATGTTTAAGTACTGTTGCTGGGTGAAATCTTTTGAACCACCATCTTCGGCAATAAAGAATGCATTTTAGGTTTCAAAAGAATCTTGACTTTCACTTCATAGCAACAGTGTACTGTACACATGGATGACATGACTATGAGATGTCAGACACATGCAGCAGCCTTTTTATTTAGTAGCACAATCATCATACTGTACATCTGTGAGTCAAAACACTATCATATAGAATATGTTAGATTTTTTCACTTTTTGATTTTCAGTGGATTTGCTTATATTGATTTTAAAAGTTCAGATCTCACTCACAACAGAATTAGCTGTAAATTTCATGCTAATTTCATGAGCTTTAGAAACCAGTTCATGTGGTTTTAATGATGACCTTTCTCACACGTATGTTCATAACAATAACAGTAACAATGCACTGTGTTAATTTGTACAATATACATATCTTAAGATATTGTTTTTCTGTACCAAAGCTCCAGGATGACCACAGTTGCCTTGGTTGTGCACCCAAGAAGCTGTGTGATTGACAGCCAGACAGCGGAGGGGCAGCCAACAGCCACTGCAGCCCACATCCCACTGCTGAGTCAGTGCATTACTGTTATTAGCAGGCTCTCAATGCTGCCTCGCTCTCTATCTGCTCTATTCTGTACTTGTGTTTTTCACTGAGTCTAGCAGATCCCACCACTGAAAATGCCACAATATGCTACTTCCTGCTTAATAGGAACAGGCTTTAGCTTTAGGCAGTAAAGACATGTTTGTGGTATACGATCTCCCCTGTATCACAGGGCAGTTCAATTATCATTTATTATCATTTATATATATTTGCTTCAATGTTGTTAAACAACTTTCTGTGGTAATACTAAGCATGAGTAAAAGGAAAGGCTTTCAGCATTAATTATGCTGCACTGCACTGAACACTTTGGGCATACAGTGAACACAGAAAAGGATATACTAACAGATAACACAGTTATAAACATTAGTTTGTACATTATACAGATTCTATATAGTGGAATAATACTTGAATAATAAGACAAGAGAAATCTGAAATTCCCATAGGTAAAACTATTACGGTGGAAAAGAAGATAAGGCTACTCATATGAATTCAACTTTGACATGTCCACCTATGGGAGGACGGTGTTGGGGACTGCTGACAATGATCGATTCCAGTAGGACTTGTGATGCAGTGCAAAGGAGGTGAACACTTTGAGCACAGACAGTAGGCACTTGGCTCTGTGATATTGACACATGAGGCCTTTATGAGCGACCATCAATGTTACAGATGGGCTATAAATGCGCTGACACACAATGGAGGCGCAGAGGCTACAAATTGTGCTTTACAGGTCCCAGAGGAGCAGAGCCAGCGGGGGCCATGACTGCCTCTTTAACCGGGGTCACACTCAGAGCTTCACACTCAACCATGAGCCATCGCCCCAGACCCACAAGCTACCAAGGACGGCCTCCCTGCTAACTGCCCACCCATCACATCTTATACCTGCTTGTGTGTACATATAGATCCAGTACAGAAAAAGTGAAAAGCTGAAGATCAATGATCACATATTTATCCATTGAAACCTCTAACAATCTTGCTCCGCTGTGAGTAATGTATACCAACAAATAAAAATTCTACAAAAGGTTCATTCAAATATGGTCTCTGTATAGTTCCCATCATCATGGCGATTATTCACGCCATGCCTCCATGCCTGCATACACACAGAGGTCAGGCTGCTATAGGCTCAAGTGTATGTCCACTTTTAGCCGCAGTCATTTACACACGCAGGCCCTCTCTTCACGGCTCACTGCAAGCCAAGGCTGTGGCCCTTGAGCATTACAGTTTCTCTTGGTCTTTGCACACTTTATGGACATTGAACCACCAGCCGCTTAAAATAGAAAACTTAAAAAACACACACACCCCACCACATACTGCACGCCCCAGGAAGACATATGCTGTTAATGCCCTGTAGGCTGTTTACCAATGCACTGGATTCAAGGAAACAAACACAGAGCACCATGGGATCAATAAATAATTTCCCTTCACTAATAGTTCTCAGCAGCACATCCTCAATTATTCTGAAAGCCATATTGAAGTATATTTTTTGTAAAGAATAGGTGCACAAGACAGTGGTGAGAAAAGCAATTTTGGATGCTCTTAACAAGGTAGAGATGAAAAAGGAAACAGGTATAGTCATTTGTGATGCTTTGGTGATAGAGTAAGAGAGGACACACAGAAATTATTCAGACAAGTAGGATAAAAAAGCAAATATACTATGTGAGTAGAAAAATATTATGGTTAGTAGTCAGCAATGTAAGGTGTAGAAAAGATGAAACAGAGCATTAAATTGGTTATTAAATTATATAAATCCCTACTACGAAAGAATTGAGAGGAAAAGACAGTATTGCAATTTAAATTTACATGGACATCAATTAGTGTATGTAATATATCACAATAGAGCTAATTTAGTAAAGCTGGGCAATAACAGAAGCTCGTAGTTCTTTTGATTATTATATTTTCTATACATCTCGAGTGAAGCTTACAGTGCACTATATAGATCACGGGGCTCTCTCTTGTGGCCAGTCACCAGCACTACAGTTATTATAGCCTCAGAGTGAATCAGCACTATCCTTAGAACTGCCCCGGTTTTCAAATGGAAAGCCTTAAATGAAATGAGAGACATTTTGACCAATCATTTCTAACGATTCATCTGAGCCATTTTGATCTTACTGCGCAGATTACATTATTCTCTTTTGGTATAGTCTAATCTAATATTCTTATTAGCTGAACATCTCAGTGGTATATCTGGCCTATAGATCGTGTATTATACTACGTAATGTTGGCTTGAGGTTTCAGGTTTCTTTCTTTCAATCGCCATTTTTTTAGACTTGCTTTTTTTTCCCCCAGCGCTGGAGTCTTAAAAAAACGAGCTGTCATTGGTATCATCTTGCTTGTCTCTACTTCAAGTAAATCAAGTAAAGTGAACCACTCATTAAAGACTTATCATTCACAGAGCGGCGTGTGCCCGACAATCCCTCAGCCCACTGTAGTCCAAGCCAAGGTACAAGTATTAATAAGTAAATTAATCTAAGTAACATGTTTCACACAAATCTTCGGTACGAGGCTACTGCAAATCGTGGACCCTCTTTAAAGTTCATTCTAAAATTTGGGGCCAATAAGCGGCATAGGGAGCGTCCACATTCGCGTTCACATGCCGCAACATTGGCTGCACGTGGCGAATTACATTTTAATGAGCTTCTAATTTTAGAGCGCGCAGCACCAATAATAATAGACTTGATGAATATGCATGTGCCGTGTTTGAAGTTCAGAGGCATGAGAATGAGGGAAAATCCTCGCCGTGGTGTGACATAAAAATGACTGGTGTCTAGTGGGTGCGCGCACACATACCAGTCAAACGGATCAAATGAAACGCGTTTACGTAATTATTTTACCTGTTGGAGATTGCTTAACACTGACATAGTTTTTACAGTAAAGATATACGGAAAACGGGCTCGCCAAAATGTCCCATCCAGTTCCATTCACTCGGCTTACCCATGATGACGTTGAGGGACATCATCCAGTCTGTGATCCGACCTTCAGCACCACGGACAGCTCCAGACAACAGGCTGCTCCGAACGGACACACGCCGAGCTGAAGGTTACAGCGGGGTCTTATAGCTACCGCCAATCTCACCGAATCAGCAGCCGTGTCCAGCGACTGTATCAGCACATTGAGCCAACCAGGAACTTAAAAGCATTCCAATATTCTTAAAACAGATCCATCAAACATACGCAAATAATCCGAGTCACGGCAGTCGTGTAAGAAAAGCACATATAACGCCTCAAAACACGCTCCGTACCCCCGTGCAGCGCAGGGTTAATTCATCAGAAAGTGTTGATGAAAGCTCGTTACGTGTGCGTGGCGTCCCAGCTCAACTCCCTCCCAGAGTCCGGCGGTGCGCGAGGGAAGCACACACAGGAAGAGAGGGCGAGAGAGAGGCAGACACTCTGCTTCGCGACAACAAGATCACTTACGATTCAAGACACTTACTTCAGAGTCAGTCTGTGCTGTCATCACAAGAGTAACACGCTTGTCGGGGAAATGACACGTTATAGCTCTGGCCTCAAACCAATCAATTAGGTAACAGATTCTTAAGAAAAAAAGAAAGAAAAAAAAAAAAGAATAGACTTATGACGTAACGGGTAGGAGTTACAGTAACGCTTTTTATTGTACACATGCAATTTACACATGTTGGTAAATGGCTAATTGGTGCTTATGGCTTATGAACACCTTAGTTACCTTATTTTACAGCATTGCTGGAGTTACTGAATTTTTTGAAAATGAACAGTTAACTCTGTAAACAAGTAATAAAAAATGAAATCCTCTATTCTTTATGGCTTTTTAGGCATAGGATGCCTGATTTTTTGATGCACTTGGTCTCTGCCATCAAAATTTAAGATTTACACACTATGACAGGAAATATAACATCTTATTTACAAAACTCACTCCTGAAAGTGTGATATCCTTGTTGTTTTTACACTTTGTTTCAACTCCCTCCCCACACTCACTGAGCACTGATGATATCTCTGGTGTTAATCTTGTTCAGATAGGGCAGACTGATTTATACTGACATGTATCAAATGAAACCAAACAATCAGCCATCAATTAGACCAGGCCCACTTCTTCAGAGGCTGTTTAAATCTTAGTGCCTCTAAAGTATATCATATTCCAGCGCTGCCTCACAAAGCTGGCTGCTCCAGACATAGAGCCTGGTTAATATTCAATGACGTTTCACAGAACAAGATCTCTCTCGTCACTGCTGTCACCATCTGTGAGAGAGAAAGAGTAGACGCATGGAAAAAGAGCACATTTCACCAGCAGCAGCACCTCTTTCACTGACACACAAGCTTTCTCAAAACTACCACCAAAATCGAGCGTATTTTGGGTGTGACGGAGTAATCAAAGCTGCTGCGTCCAATGAGCTTGGGAACAGCATGGGTGACTTTAAGCAGCTGATCATTAAAGGGCCCATATTAAACTATTTTCTGATCTATGTTATAATGTTTTTTCCTCATCAAAAGCATACAGTACCTGGAGTGGTGTTTTGTTTCATTCACATATTTTTAACACACAAACCCTGTATAATTAGGCTGAGTTCTTCTCTCAAACAGAAAAAACTCTGTTCTACCTTGTGATGTCATGTGGGGATACAGGAAGTGCTCCACTGTGTTTTTATACCCCATACACCATGGAACAAAAGGTAAAAGGTAGCTGTTAACTTGAAAACTACCACATCATGACATCACAAGGTGAAAAAGAGAATTTTTAGCTGTGAAGATGTAAACAGATTAATGATACAGGATTACCCAAACATGTGTGAATGAAACAAAACACAACTCCAAGTATGATTTTTGATGAAGTAACAGCATTATAACATGGCTTCAAGCTCACAAGAGTAAATTTTGTTTAATATAGGACCTTTAAGAGTTAAGCACAGTATAGTTGAAATATTATTATACATTCACACAATCCCGCTATTTAGTGAAAAGCATGTTTGTGCTAGTCTATAGACACCAAAGGAATGAATCCAAACTTATATGTAAAGTGATTTACTTACATATACACCAGATGCCCTCCCAAAACCTCTTCATTAATAAAGGCCTAGCTCAAGGAGAAGAGTTCAAAGGGTTGTGACAACATTGTGCAAGGTTGACCAGAACCCACTGCTAACAGGGTAAAAATACAAGATGGTCACCTGAGAAAATGTATTCTTAAGTTGACTTGAGATTCAGAGTCTTTTCTAACTATCAATAATATGCTTGTGTCTTTTTAACTGAGAAGTCTACAGACAATCCACTCACAGCAAAAGTGTGTGGTTAAGAGCAAATTTCAGACTTTGGAGGAAGAAATGTTACTTTATCTTTTTTTAAAAATGGTAATTATTATAATTCTATATTGCTTATATTGAAATATTTTTAATAAGACAAAATAAAATTGAAATAGAAATTGTGATTCATTTTCACCCAGCCCTAATTTGACATTAGCAGTTTGTGACTATGTGAAGGATGGGGTAAATGTTAAGTAAGACATATTCCAATAGTAAATAGCAAAAATAAAAAGCAAAAATAACATGTATAGACGGGTTCTATGCAACTGTATTATCATCTCATTGCTCACTACTGCTACTACATATTTTTGTTCTAGTCACATAAAACAAGTGTAAATAAATGAAACACCCTCATACAAATCCAGAAAGCCAGGCCAACACCAGGTAAAGCCAAAGTGCCAGTGATCCAAATGTCCATCACCCACCTGCTGCCACGGTTACTACTCATCGCCATCTGTACAACATGCAAACTGATCCCGTGCTATTATCCATATGGGCACAAAAGAGGGAGGCACAATCGGGGTCTTCGAGGGGAGCAGTGGCACACAGGACTATCCCACCATTCGGTATTTTTGGATCAAGTCCACTGCTGCTACTACAGTATGTGCACCCCTGTAGAGTTACTATTTAACATTGAGAAACCCAATACATGTGAGCGGTACAATGAAGGAGATTCTCATTCATCCACACTGTAGTTTGCCAAGTTAGTGTGGTGGGTGACTGTAAACCCAAGATAAACTAGAGTCATTTCAACTACATTTAACACTCTAGTATTTACAATGACCCATTTTCTGACACTTCTAGACAGTTAGTGTTAAGCAGTAGTGGAAGAAGTACTCAAATGTGATACTTAAGGAAATGTACAGATACTAGAGCAAAAAAATGCTCAAGTAAATGTAAAAGTATCACATGAAAAAAATCTACTTAATTTAAAAACAGTATTAAAGTGCCTATTTAAAATGTACTTTCAAACAGTAAAAAGTAAGAGGAAAAAGGAAAAGCATTTTGCTCAGATTTTGAGATCCAATAAAGCTTCAGATGTAGTGATTTTGGTAAACTGATAAAGAGACAAATGAATCAATCATTTTTCTTTGTATATTTTTGTTTGCTCAAACTACAAATGTGTTCAAAATAAACCCAACTCTCAGTCTTTTCAGCATGTCTCAAACAACAATAAAAAATTGTTTTCTGTCCAGTTACAAAATGTAGTGGAATAAACACAAAGTAAAAGTATCCACTTTAAAATAAGTAAAGTACAGATAGCTTTACTTAAGTACAGTTCTGCTTTGTTACGTTCCACCACTGTGAATAAATAATGTAACATGGTAATAGTGTATGCAGCATATGCATAAACTTGGGGTTCAAACCATTTACCCATCAGTTTGTAAATAATTAACCCATTGTGCCACTGTTGCCCTCCCCCTGTAAGGCCCCAAACATATTCTGAGAAATAATCATTTGCTCCTTTGTCCTTCAACTCTTCTGTCTTTGACAACTCGAGGTGACTTTGTCTTAGGATAACAACATCAAACCTCTTTATTTTATGAGCATGGTTTTTTGGTTTTATGTTTCCATTGGAGACTCACAGACATTTCAGAATACACTTGCTTGTTGTTGGCTGCTGTATGCGTAAATGAACATATATATATATATATATATATATATATATATATATATATATATATATATATATATATATATATATATATATATATATATATATATATATATATATATATATATACATATACATATATCACACATTATATCAAAGCATTTTAAAACAAAATGCTCAGGCTAGATCCTATAAAACACAGAAAAGTGTTTGCTAACCACTTTGTCCTCCTGTTGCAATTCCAAGTGAGCAGAAATGCAGAGGAAACAAGAGACAAAAATGGTGAGAGAACGAGACAATTAAAAACATTAGTAGATCTGTGTGATCCCATATAATAAATGATTTGTCTGCAATAAAAATGCCACATAATATCAATTGAAACTGTCAAAATACTCTGACTGGTAAGGAGGAAGCTATCAGCAGCCCAAGAAAAGGAGGGAGAGGTCCCTCCAGTGGTGAAATCGGGCAACTGTAAGTTACTGTAAACTTGAGTTTGTGAACATGGTAAATCAGAGGTTGTACATAGGTGTGCAGGGAGCCAGACTAGCGTTGGTGTTAATAACTGAAAGCATTAGTTGTCTTTAGAGACACTGTTGGCTTACTTCCCAGGGTATGATTTCACTGCAACATTTTATAACCTTGGATCTTAAAAATAGTGAAGGGAATTTGCACAGTGTGCTTATGTGTGTGGGAGAGAGAAAAGGAAAGAACTGGATTACCTTATTTGACCGCAGAGACACACGTCCTCCGCACCGAGCACAGAATTTAGTTTGGCAATATGAACAGAGGTGGCCACAGCCGTCGGCAAACTTGGTTTTGTGGCAGATCCCACAAATCGGGGCTTCACTTTTCTGGTCCTGACCCTGCTTCGTCTCCTCACCCATCTTCTTGACCTGGTCCTTATAGGACTCAAACTGCTGGTGCAATTTCCTGTAAGCACGAGAAAAAATTAGATTAGAAATGTATAAACAAGTGAGAGAAGCAGCAGGTCATAAACCTTATTTGAAATCAAACATGCACATTGATCAAAGCGACTTGCTTAAACAATACAAAACATACAGCGCAATGAATAGCCAAGCTGGGGCCAAATCTGTGCTGTAAACCCCTATACAGTATAGGCTGTTGAAATTAGTGTAGAAGTCAAGATCTTTATTATTTATTTTTTAACTATTCAGTTACTCAGACAGGACAATGCATGTTTACAGTTGCTCAGTTAGATCAGTTATCATAACCTCACAGTAAAATAGTCCTTATGTAACCTGGTGCACAGTGTGGTAAAAGGAAAAGCAGACACCTATGACCTCAAACACTTCTTACTTGCTTGTCTTTGATACCACTCCCAAAACAGGAGATGCGTATCAAATTGTGCTTTGAACGCTTAATTCTTTCTCAAGTTGCCCAAGCATTTAAAGGATCATTTTCACCTATGTAGCCTATACATTTAGACTCCAGGAAGTAAAGCATAGTCATTTTAAGGTAAACAAATTGTTGAGGTGATTTCATTAGCCATCAATTTGTAAGCTGTGGTCACTAACAGTAGACACAGCCAACCTGAAAGTATTAGCATGTGTAATGTGTTACCACCTCCATCCTATAGATGGCCCCGTCCTGTCACGTTACACCTGATCTTATACAGTACAGATCCTTAACTCCTAACAAGCCCAGAGAGAGACTTGAAGTGCAAAAAAACCGGGACTGCTCGCATGCATTTTGTATGACACATGTCAACTGAGCGTCTCCTTGGGAACTAAACACTGGGCTGACTTCATAATATGGCGATTAGAATTGGTTTCGCCCCACATATCCCCTGCAACATTCATTAGTGCTTGTGAATTATTGACTAGCTGCTATCCTTTTACCTCATAGCGCTCTGTGTTTGAGCTAATCGTGCTTCCTTTAGCCACAACTTTAGGCATTTAGAGTCCAAATGTGGCAGCACCTGGACACGGATCATGATTAGTACTGGCATTCGGAATTTAAGGCAAAAAAAAAAGTTTTAAAAATTTTTGGATTTTTTTCCCCTAATACCAGTGTTCTAGGGAAATAAATGTGTAAATAATTTGTCCACATATGACTTTGTATTTTAACTACAAATATCATAGTTTTTCTGAGCCTGATATAACATTCACTGGACTAAAAGAGTGTTAAAGCGCTGGTATTGTGCGATTGGCAGGTCTCTTGTTGTGGCCTCTGAGGGATTTAAGGGCTAATTGTGACAGCCCTTTGTGTGTTTACTGCGCACAGATTATCATGTAGCCTTGTTTAACAGCTCCCATCAAATCTCATTTACTGATGAAGAAGTTGATAAGAGATGAGAAGCGTGATACAAGAGGAATAAATCCACTGTCTCCCAAGATTAACTCTAGAATACAACTTTGTAAGACATTATTCTGTTCTTCCACTTCTAGAGACAGCTAAAGTAGAATGGCTAGGATAGAGATTCCCAAACATTTCAGTCCAGGATCCTCTAAATAACCTTACGATGGACCTGTGATCCCCTCAGCAAAATTAAACTGGCATTTGTAATCATTTCAAGTTGCAAAATCAAAGTCAGGTTTAATTGTGCATTATATGAGTAGTTCATTGTGTTACTTGCTACCTCATTTCAGTAAAATATAAAAACTAAAAATATAAATTACAACATATAAATTAAGACATCTCAAAATCCACAGCTCAGTGCCTTGTGACTTCGCACCAGCCGCCAACTCACACATAGGCTAGGAGTTTAAGTCTTGAAATTTAAAAAAGGAAAAAAATAAAAAATCTCAAATGTGTTTTATTTAGTGCTGTTTCTGTACATTGATGATTCTTTCCTTGTTCAGTACAATAATGTAAAGATTAAACTAAAAAACAAAAATGCATGAAGTACAGGGTGGAACCATTTTCTTTTTTTTTTTTTTTTTTTGGACAAGTCATGTATTTGCAATTAGATTTGATTTATACTTATTACAGTTCACAGTGCATATCTGTAACTCATCTCGGGGCATTAACCTATGAGAAGAGACTTAAATTCTTGACCACCACAGACATGTTGTAACTTTTTTTGGTCTAAACTACAGAGTTAGCAGATTTTATACATGATAACAATATTTTTTTGTTATTGTTATTGTTAAAAGTAAATATTCAAATGTCAGATTAGATTTTAATTGGATTCATCTTGCAGCTCTACTAACTTTATCAAAACCGCCTATCTTTTTCGAGATGCACATGTATGGACTGTACAGTAGCAGCTGGCAGATGGTACACAGTGCTCATTCCCCATGGTTCACTTATTGGGTCAAACGCGGTCACATGTAGGTGACACTGCTGACGAGTAATCATACGCTGATCATTGTCCTGTCCTGTGCAGCACATTGGAGCTCCCTTTACCCCTGTGCTGCTCTGGGGCAGATACACACTGGGTAACATGACACTATGTTTGGTTGTATGACAGACACAACATAACGGCAGCCGAGTAAACTACAAGCTCTGTGTCCAATATCATCAGATTGAGCCAAGATATTAACTCATTACCATAACAAGCTGCCGCTCAGTTTTCCAAAGAAAGAAATCTGCACTATTTCAACGAAAGACAAGAATGGGCTTAATCAATACAATTCTTGAACATGAGGGCAAATCTGATCTAAACTGAAGCTAGACCAGGACTTTACAGTGTCTAACTAAGCACTCATCATCTCCGCACTGGACCAAACTAAACTTAAAGGTGCAATGTGTAATGTTTCTGGTGGAGGTGTCTGTCAAATGGTTTTCTCCATGGGGATATTATTGCTTTGTCTGGTATGACATTAAACCTTTCTATCTTCATGAAGGTCAAACCAAACCAAGTTGCAGGTCAGATATGTGGAGAGGCAACCCCAGTCACAGTCAGAATGCATGTTTTTCTAGGTATTTTTGAGCTATAAAACCGCATGTAATTGAATAAACATAAGGGAGAGCTCTTTAATGTCATACTGTGGAACATTCCAGGCAAAGCAATGACATATCCATAGAAAAAAGCAGGTGACAGAGCCCCAACCATAAAGTTATATAGAGCACCTTAAAGCCATACTTTGAAATACAAAAGAGTTCAAGCACAAGGATGCCTCTATACCACAACAAAAAATGAAAAACTAAATAGTAAGGTACAGCAATAAAATTCTACCATACCCAATGTAACAAGTCTCACCAGCTAATGGCTCTCAAGTCGATTGGCTCAATGCAGTATTCCTTTGTACTTGAGGGGATCAAACAGTAGAACTGTGTATGTGCTTTTACTTACGGATCTTGCTCTGGCTCCTTGTCATTTTGGGGCTTTTGCTGGGGCTGAAGAACATTATTTACCAGCTCAGTAATTCCACTAAAGGGAAACCACCTGTTCAAATAAGCAAAATGTGACTTCAACAACGCATCAGGCATCAAGTGGAAAAAGAAAGGGCTTCTGAGGGAGCACAATGCTTTCTGGGACAGTACCGGAGAAAAAAGGCATTCACAGAAACTGAAGGAGCAAAGAGAGCAGGAAAGAGACTGGGTCACTGCACAGCGCTGAGTTGTAGGAAATTCACCAGTGTCAAGGAAGGAGAGTTGATTGATATGACAAACACACGGTAAGTTTAAGATACTATAGGAAGAGAAGCAAAAAGCAGTGAAAAGGATGAGCTTAACTTAGCCAGAGTCATAAGGTGAGTATTGTGTTTTTTCTCTTTTTTTAAAAACAGTTTTATGCTTTGTGGTTTGGTTTCATGTGTTCTTTTGTGACAGAAAGAGGCTGCACAAGCAGAGCGACACACTGGGTGAAATGAAAAGCCTATAGGAACATGAACAAGGGACGTACCTGAGTATTACAGCTCAAAAACATTACACTGTCAGTAATGTCATGAAAATCTGCCATTTCATTTGAGATTTTAATTTGAGAACAATGTTAAATTTCTTTTCTAATATACTCTGAAATATAAGGTAGGTACAATGTAAACTAGAATATGATACAATATACTATGTATGTAAAGTGATACAATATACTACTAATAACTAATCATAGAACAAATAAACATATCATATATATATATATATATATATATATATATATATATATATATATATATATATATATATATATATATATATATATATATATATATATATATATCAACTATCATAAAACATGGATAAGTTGCTACTGGCATATTATCATAGTTAATGACTACCACAATTGTGAGCTCTGTACTCATGAGCATGAAAAACAGTAACATTTAATGTGATAAAAAATATAATTTTGATTATAGGTTCAGTTCCAACAGTTGTCAAAACAAACCATTATTAAAACAAGATGGTGTTTTGAATTTTAGGCAGCTTTTCATGACAAAAGTGACACATCTAAAAGTCAGATTCAAGGCAAAGAGAAGACAGCCACATGAAGCACACAGCACCATTTGGCAGGAAGAAGAAGTGTCAAAGCCTAGTGCACTCTGGGTAACGTAGTTTACTTACTGAGCTGGCTGAGGCTTTGGTTCTTCTTTGATCCTAAAACAACAAAAATAAAGAGGTGCGCACAGCTGAGCAAAAGTAACTCAAAATGATAAATGTGAAAAATCAAATGAACAACAAAACATTGATTTAATCAATACAAATCAATTATTAACAACATAAACTGATATGACAATAAAGCATAACGTATATAAAGTATATAAAATATATACAAACATGGCAAACTCAAAGTTAAACATGACAGTTAAGTGCTTCATGTGAAAGCTTAGTATCGCATTGGTCACTCTGATGATCATAATAATTCCAAGGAGGTGGCTTAAATACTACCCAACAACAGTTTTGCATTAGCAAATGGATAAAGAATGATGTTATAGAAAGACTGTGGTGCCTCAAAGAAATTCTCAAAATAAAATAAAAATATTTGCAAAGGTTTAGCAATAAATAATTAATATCATATGAGTACTAAAAATATTTGTACTGCATAATTGACAAAAGTAACAGTAAAGGGACTGTATGTAGCCTGCCTTTTTACTGTTTGAACCTGCATTGCCAGTGCTTAAACAGTGCACAGTTTTTATATTTAATATACTTATTATATGGAATAGCCATGTCTTATTTAAAAGATCAGAACCTCCAGAATTCACTAGTAGCACAGATTTATGATTGACTGCATGTGCTGGGAGAGTTGGTTTAAACCTAAAAGAGAGAACTATTTTATGCATAAACCAAGTGGATTTCAGCATTGGAACTGGCAACCCAAATGAGAGACTAATGTGAGGCTCATTCTACTCTCTGACTGAGTCTGTCTTGAGAAACAAAGCACCAAATTATAACAAATAAATAATAACACATAATAATAAAGAATAAATCAGCATTAGAAATGTTATCAGTAATGATTTGAACATGTTACTTCATGTCTGGAGACACAGATAGGCTGATGAAATTTTAAATCAAAATCTAATTTTTGTGAGGCTTTATTACCTAATTACACATTTTTACACATGCAATTTTACACAACAGCATTTTAAAATGTATACTGACAAACTTGCAAAAAAGATAGATTATTAAATGAATCCCAATTAAACAGAGACAAGTTCAAACTGAGAATGTAATATCACAACTTCACATAACTCATCAGCATCGCCCGCTTTAAATAGTTGTGTGAAGGAGAAAGTGTTAATTGGATTGTGTTTGTTTCTGACCAGGACTCAGAAGCGCTGATAGTACTTAAATATAGTGCATACAGTTCTGTCCTCAGTCAAATATTAACCTCTTTCCTAAAAATCTGTTCAAATATGGTGTAAAAAAAAAAGAATGAATACACAATTACAATCATAAATCACACATATCATAATAAAAACAGATTATACAATAAAAATCTCTCCACAACATAAATTTTGTGAAACTTTTAAAAGCTATCAGTCATATCACAGCATAGGTCAACTTATTTGACAAGACACAAAAGACAGCAGGACTCAGTTAACACCAGTTTTTTACACTCCATGTTGTAGGCTAATGAAAGAAAACAGAACCATTTATATTACTTTATATTAGCAAAAATATCCATTGAGTATGTCCTATTTACTGAGCACGATGACACCAGTATTATTGCCTCACTCTTTTTATGCTATTAAGGAGCTATCCATGTTTTCGTCTCATTATTTTACCTGAGAATTATTGCGTGTACACAGCTACTACCGTGCTCAACTAACATATCTGGTATAAACTAGTGGCAAAAGTTGACTTAAATTATAAACTAAAACGTGACTAAACTTCCAACGACTCAAAATCTCAAAAGACAAAAGAGGAACACAGAGGATATCCTTACATAGTACCATTCAAAGTCTACAAACTATGCCAAACTTTAATGAGGAATCAGACATGTTTAAAATTGCAGCAGCCTTCAGCCAACTGAAACCATGACATCTGCCTCTTCAGTGTCAACGCTCAAGAAGCACTGAGTAAAGCTACCGTAGTTCTCTATACCTAGCCAGTGAATGAACCTGAAATAGAAATCTAGACTCCTTTTCCAAGTCTAATCCAGAGCATCTTCCTGTTTATTTAGAGCCAGACACATGAGAGAATAGAGGATAGTTGTAAAGCTATAGTTTGTACCCGTCAGTCTGCGCGGCCTGTTTCCCGATGAGCCAGTCCATATTTATCCTGTCGTGGTGTTCCCGTGGTGACCGGCAGTCATGTTCATATTGATTCCATCAGATTCCAGCCTGGTGCGTGTCTGATTGTGGAGCCCACTGCTGCCTGTCTGCCGAGAGCCGCCGCTTTGGACTGGGTCAGTGTGTGCATGTGTGTGTGTGCGCGCTACTGTCTACTGTACTCATACGTCTGCATGCGTAATGTGAGAGGGGGTGTGTGACAAGCAGCTTTGTTTGGTGTGAAGATGGGCTGTTGTTCTGTACAGTCATGCTGCAGATAAAACAATGTGTTCTGACTGATATTTTACTGATACAAAAGATAATTGACTGACAACTTAACAAAAACAAGTACCACTTTGTAATACTTAGAATATATGAAAAAATATATGCATAAAAATGTATAATTTTTGACACAATATAAGATCCAAAATCTAAAATTATTAAAGGGTCCATATTACACTATTTTCTATTCTACTGTTAATGTTGTTTACTCATCAAAAACATACCTAGAGTTATGTTTTGTTTCATTCACACTTGTTTAATACACAAATCTTGTATATCTGGGCCGAGTTCTTCTCTCAAACAGAAAACACTTTGTCACATGGTAATACAGGAATACCACTGTGTAATACTTTCGATCATTTCAGACCTGGAATTTCCAGTCTACTAAACAAAAGGTAAAAGGTAGCTGTTAACTTGAAAACTACAGCTTCATGACATCACAAGGTGGAGCAGAGTACTTTGAGCTTTAGTGATGTAGACAGACTAATAATAAAGGGTAATTCAAACATGTGTGACTGAAAAAAAGACAGCTGCAAGTATGGAGGTGACAACATAATAACATGTCTTAAAACTTGCAAGAGTACATTTTGGACCTTTTACCACTATTTTCACCATGCACTGAAAAATTGTGTTCATGTCATGTTATTATTAACATGTAATTTATATAGACCCTAACTGCCTGCCTGAGTGCCCGTCAAATTTGAATGTTAAAAGTAAAAGCTAGTAACCCTTAATAGGTGCACAACTGAACTTTTGTGTGGAGGATTTGCTACTAAATACATTCTGATTTTCCTAAAATGTTCCACACTGTAACAATAGTCACATTACTTTAGTTTTAGTTTTTTTTCCTCAGCAATAAAGAAACAACAACTGTACTTCAAACAAAGCATGACAAACAAAATGACTGAAAACATTTCCAACAAGCACTTACATCTCCCTAGAAAAAAGCAAGTAAACCTTGAAGTTACATAATGCACCTTTAAATAGCTAATTTGTATAGAAAATATCAGACTTCTTACAGTTGAATTAACAACACTTGAGAGACCCTTTGATAATATTTATACTACAAATTCATAATTAAAAACACCAGACATAATAATAAAATAATGTCTGAGGGAGGATCTTTTGAATGACTTTATAAAGACGAAAACAGTGACACGGTTTGTAAAGTCCTGACATGAATGGTAGGGCCCAGTGTATTATTTGACATGGGGCCGTAAAATGAGTGAGTGTAAAATGTCACAAATGACGCAGGTTGTATCCTGGCTGCAGCGCAAGCCTAGGGCACAGGACCCTGCCTCTCTCACCTGCTCCTCTCCAACCTCCACTCAAGTAAACACACACATACCGTACAAGAATACCACTATACTGAATAAAATATTCCCAAGAAAGAATATGCCCAATAAATGTATACTCAAGGAAGAATAGTTAACAGTCCTGTATTAAACAAAACTGACTCGTGTGAGCTTTAAGCCATGTTATAATGTTGCTACCTCCTCAAAAACATACCTGGAGTTGTGTTTTATTACATTCACACTTGTTTGAGTAACTTTGAATTATTAGCCTGTCTACATCTCCAAAGCTCAAAATGTTTTGTTCCACCTTGTGATGTCACAAAGCAGTAGTTTTCAAGTTTACAACTAGTTACTTTAGCTTGTTTGGTAAAGACAAGCAATTCCAGGGCTGAACTCAACCAAATGATTCTAGTGAAGGGTGCACTGAGTGGAGCTGATGTGTTACCACATGACATCACAAGGTGGATCTGAGTGTTTTCTGTTTGAGTGAAGAACTCAGAATAAATATGCAGGGTTTGAATGAAACAAAACACAATTCCAGATATGTTTTGATGTGGAAATAAATCATAATTACTATAATAAGTAAGTAAATCAATCAATCATTCGATTTCTTACATTAAAAGTCAGTCTCAAGAAACACTAACCATCAAACCATCTTACTTTATCTACTGAAAGCTTTTGGAATTTGTCAACATATGCGTGGGCAAAGCTGAAGTAACTACAAATCTTATTCCAGAAATGATATTTATTGCACAATGTTTTCAAAACTGTTTCTCAAATAAATGTAACTAACAAGTAAATGTCCCCAACTCTCATACCCACACAACACCAGGTCTGAGCAGGTGAATTCTGTCAACCGCTAACTGCACCTACTTCACTTTTAATAAGACACGTGCCACTGCTGCTGCTATTTCTGGTCCATTGTTTCTTTCTTTTTTTTTTTTTTTTTGTTCTGTATTTAGACTTGCTTGCATGGCTGCCTGTGTGTTGAGATGTACTGAGTTAAAGTGCTGTGGTACACTGCTCCCTAGTGGACACATAATCCTGAGAGATACATGATTGCACTGTAAAAAAAGAGGAGTATTCAGATGGGATTAATGAATGAATTATGAATTACTGTCATGCGTATTTAGAGATGATTGTATTCCAGCACTGTGGTATATTTTACTGTGATTAAGTTTGTATTCTTCTTACAGTGAAATTGATAATGTCTTGTACATACATTTAATTTCTTTGAAGGTCCTATATTATGCTAAATTTACTCTTGTGAGCTTTAAAGCATGTTAGGATGTTGCTACCTCATCAA